AGACTTAGCCGCAAATTGTACATGTTTAGTTTTGCTGAAGTTTAGGGTTAGCAGGTTTGACTTGAACCACTCATTAAGGCAGTCAAAAGAGATATTCACATCCCTATTATATTGTAAGTTATTATTGCTACTAATCACCAAACTAGTGTCATCTGCGAATAAGACTGGTTTAACTGTGCTATTAAAAATTGTAGAAAGATCATTTATATAGATAAGAAATAGAAGCGGACCAAGTATGGACCCTTGAGGGACTCCATGCCTGACAATATCCCAATCTGATCTAATAGTGTTGCTCATTTCAATATCTGTTATTAGTACTCTCTGATGTCGATCTGATAAGTATGATGCAATTAAATCATAAAATCTACCTTGTATCCCATAATATTGTAGTTTACTCAACAATATTTCGTGATTCACACTATCAAACGCCTTCTTCAAGTCACAAAAAACTCCACCTACAACTTTTTGTTTATTTAATGCTTCTAGTATTTCATTGAGTAACACGTAAGAGGCTTTAGCAGTTGAGGATTGACGTCTAAATCCAAATTGCTCATTGACTATTATATTATGATCATGGATATGCTGATTTAATCTAGACAAAACTATCTTCTCAAATATTTTTGAGAAGGAGGTTAAGAGGGAGATGAGCCTATAATTAGATGGATCATTCTCGCAACCACCCTTGTAACAAGGCTTAATTTCAGCATATTTTAGCATATCGAATGTACATCTAGTAAATTAAACAAGAAACATCAAATCTGCAAGTTCACTTATTTATACAAGTGAACATTTTATACAGTGTGACAGTTTTGGAACAGACAAAACAGCTGATGATGGCCATTTGAGGCAGAAACATGTGAAAAGTGAAAAATAGTTGCACTGAGGACTGAATATACTGTGTGTTTTTGATTATATATAAATGCAAAAGGATGCTTAAGTATAATATTCTGCAGAAATGTATATCATACTAAGAGTAAGACCTTACCATGTCATAGCCAGGGGTTATCCAGGAGGAGCAATTATACAATTCAATAACAAATAATTAATAAAAGCATAATTATAATTTATTTTTGCACTTATGATACATGGTTATCTTCAAGAGTCACGCTTCTTCAACTATGTCCACAGAATCCTAACATAATTTTCATTTCAATCTGAGTCTTCATCCACATTATGTTTAACAGTACCCTTCTTCAGTGTTTTATGCAGTGGACCTGCAAGAAAATACATCATGTGTTAACAATGATTTCCCCGTAGAACGAATCTAACTTCCTCTCATCAGTATCACGGTTGAGTATCTGAACTTGTGTGGATGACTGCAGATTTAATTCTCAACCTGAAGACATTATATCCTGTCCGTGGGTTTTCAGTTTCACTCAGTCCCTCCAAGTAAACTCTGCTATATACCTTACAATGGCACTATGCTATAAGCTGGAAGGTCGCAGGTTCGAGTCCCAATGAGGTGGATTTTTTCAATTTACCTAATCCTTCCTGTGCACTATGGCCCTGGGGTCGACAGCCTCTAACAGAAATGAGTACCAGGGAAAGGGCAGACGGTGTGTTAAGGCTGACGATCGCCATCTGTGAGCCAACTGTCTAGAAAATGTGGGAACCTCAACATCTCACAACCCTATGGGCCTCCACAACTTGGTACTTTTTTACACAGTCATTACGTACAAAATATAAAACACAAAGTTGTGGAAATTAAGCTAAAGCCATACAAATTACAACAGAAAGAGGAAACCTCTGAAATCAATTCCATGACTAGGTTAAATCAAATTTCCTCTCAAATGTGCCTACTTCCACTGCTGAAACTCACCCTCACTGAAGTTCTCTGCTGTTCTCTTCCTCAGTTCTTCAACATTTTCTTCAGCTGCTGCCCATTCCAGTACTAGGCGGCGGCCATACAAGTGAGTACTCTGACAAAGGGCTTTGAATGCTTGCTATAATTAAAAAAATACATATTTTTAAATTACACACAGCAGAGACGAAATTTCTAGAGTATTATGAAACAAACAAGAACGGAGAGAATTCCTGAAATACTGTAAGAGACATGCTGAAATGAAGAATACAGTGGTATGAACAATCACACATTTACATTCTGAAAAACACTATCTCTGCCATGTAAAAAGCATTACCTTAGCATCATGTTTGGTGTAATAGTCAACAAACGCAAATCCTCTGTGAGATCCAGTTCCCACCATTTTCTTGGGTAACCTTAAAGCCTTCAGCTCGCCAAAAGTTCTGTCAACATGTACCAACAATGTAGAAACTGTATTTGCAAATTAATCATCAAGACTAAGTAAGAATAGTCAACATAAATAATGGTTTAAAGAGGTGTCAGAAATTCAGTTCATTGACTTAATATCAAATATTTCATTTCCATCCATGCATCATATGAAATACTTGGTTAGAAGTTCATTAGCTATATATTTCAACACCACAATGTACAAAGAAATACATACTTAAACAAATCCATTACTTCTTTCTTTGTGGCTTGGAAAGGAACATTCCGAACCAAAATTTTGGTGCCTGTTTGTTTTCCAACCTTGGTCCTCTTTCGAGTTGTGTGAACATCAGTCCTGTAACAGAAAGTAAGTAAACAACAGTGCAATAGTCATTAGTTCCAATTCTATACTGTGTACAAGTGATAGATCAATATAGCCAACTGAGGCCACAGCCACTAGTACTTGATTTTGTTTATGGTTACTAAACTCATGAAACACCTTTCCTGAATCCTTGTATTACTTTAAATAAAAGTTATATTGAAAATGTTTAAAAGTATGTTGCAAATCTTAATCAAATCCAACTACATTTTGTACGTAAAAAAACAAAAACAAAAACAAAACAAACTCTGTGGCCTGTAGTCTGCAAGCTAACTATACCAACTGAGCAACCGCCGCTTGTCGGCAAAGTTAGTGCCAACTTTAGCAGATACAAGGCGTCGCGTGGTCAGCGCAACGGATCCCCATGGCCATTAATCTCGAGTTTCTAGACCAGAGCTCCTTAATTATCCTCACGAGGCTGAGTGAAGCCCATTCCAGACCCACTATTTCTCAGAAAATCTGGTAGTGGTGGAAACTGAACCCAGTGCCTCTGGATCTGTAGCCAGGAACTCTGACCACTAGACCACAGAGACAGTCACATTTTGTACATATTATTTGTAATATGAGCTCATTTCAAGAAAAATGACAGCATTCAGGTTGAGGTTCACATAAAGTTCAGACTGTATGAGACTCTGGTCACATTACATCAAAATTGACCGAGTACTTTCATATATTCAACACAGACAGCAGACAGACACCATCTCCTCAGTATTCATTTCATGTACATAACAAGTAACCATTCTGCTGAGTGCACATACTTGACTGTTCTGTTGGAGCGCTTCAACTCTATGGCATGTTCATTTAAGACAGACTGTTGTAGTGTCTTTAGAGCTTTCTCAGTACTAGCCCTCTTCTTAAATTGGATGAAGCCATAACCCAAAGAGATAAGCCTTTGTGGGTCCCCTGGATCCTTTTTCTTTGCAACTGACACTTCGTGAATTGGACCACATTTCTTGAAGTGCTGCACAAAAAATATTTAAGTCAGTAATACTTGCGTAGCGCATCATAGCATCATTTAAAAATCAGTCTTGCAATATGGAAGTGAAATGGGTATAAGAAACTAAGATAGAAAAAAAACAGAAACTTCTGTGTGACTGTCTAGATCAGCATTATGAACTGCACTAAGAGGTGACGATTAGAGAAAAATTACACACAAAATACATGGTGGAATAGATTTAATAATAACAAACAAAATGGCTGCAACATGTAGAAAGTATGACCCCTGGACATTTATCACAGAAAATTAATTTTTAAAATCCTATAGGAAGGTAATAAAAGTAAGCTGATTAAGTAGACTTGTATTATTAGAATCATCAGGGGCTGCTGAGTAGGCATTTTGACCTGAGAGAGCAAGAATTTCTGAAACATCACAAATACAGTCCACATCTACATAAATCCACATTAGCGCTAAACTACCCCAATGAACTTGCATGTGACTGGGATCAGCAACCCTTGTGAAGGCCAAGATACCAACTGCACCTCCACTGATCACGACTGACTACCTTTCCGGTATATACTTGGGGCTTTGAATACATTTTTCATGAGGGAATGCAGATGTTTCATCTTATATTTGATTTCATCAGATGTGGTTCATAGTAGTGAAACCACTGGCTTTGATCTTCAGTAACTAATGCTAGGCATATTTTTTTAAAACTCCCTTGTATAATCTGCTAAGCCAGGAAAAGAACAACAATTTAGCAACATATTAAACATGTGAACATCAGAAACAATGACCTCCAAGTCATTAACATGGATTGCAGTCAACTGGTAAGAATATGGACACCTTCAACTCCAGTAATAAAATGTAGATTCTGGATATTCGATTTACTGTATCCTAGAACAATTCCTTACTAAGAAACATTTCTACAGATAATTAATAATATGCCTTTATAAAGTATCTAAATTAAACATTCTAAAATAAAAGAAGAATTGAAGATTCTATGCTTCATTTTTCTGTGTTTTCATTCTTCAGCAGCAAACATATGTAGTACAGAATATTTACAGTGCTATATCCTCACAAGAAACATCAGTCAACTTTGAAAATGTAATATCACAGCAACATGTAACAATGTTTCAAACAGTGTCAGCAGGTAAAATGCTGAAAAAATCATACTGACAGTTTCCTTGTGGCTTTCTTCAGTCCATCCAACCAAACTCTATCAAGCAGGGCAGTGACACGTTACTGTTTTATAAATATTAGGAGGGTTTTTACTTTTTTAAACTTGTGGGTTGTTTAATGATGCTGTTGATATGTGGAATACACAGCATCAGATGACAGAATGGCTATTTTCATTGTTTGTATCCTGTTGCATGAATACAACTAACAATATTAATTTTACCAATTCGGCCATGAACACAATTGGTGAAATTAATATTGTTAGTTGTATTCAAGCAACAGATTGCAAAAAATAAAAATAGTGCATGCCAGTCAGGCAACAAGCAGGAACAAATACAATGAACAAATTATTGAATTGTAATGCAAACATCCATTTCAATAGAACATGTCTGGATCTCAAATTAGTACCAAAATATTCAAAGATGAAAATAAAATCATACAGTCAGACAATACCAAAACATCTGACAGGTAAAATGCTAAAAATAAGAAAATTAAATAAAATTTTGGTACAAAGAAAAGCAAATGTTAAATAAACAGCTGTATAATTTACATTTACTTGTGTTGATGGCTGAATTGGTAAAATTAATATCGTTAGATAGGACGATTGATGGTGAAATGATAAGTGTTTTGAAGGAAGTGGTCACAGCCTATCTGAATTTGCCAGGAGTGTCTGATGAACACAAAAACCTGTCAGGACAGATGATGTTCTGGGCAGGATATGAACTAAGCACCTCTCAAACACAAGCCTAGAGTGTTACATCCACCACAGTATCTTCAGTATCAGGAGGTAACTGGTTAAAATATTAGTCACATTACCAGAAAATTCTTCAACATTCACTGCTCTTGTCTCCCCAGGCAAGTGATATGGTTATCTTCCCATTGGACATGGTTCTCCTTCCAAACCTTACTTACATGACTATCTTCTTCCATTTGACAATATAAAAAATCTACCATTGGAAAAGCATTGTTAACCCTTTCGCGCGGTGATTTAAATTCCGCGGCCGTCTCTCCGGCGGTAATATATTCAGCCGGCCATTTAAATTTTGCTCGAAAATGATTTATTCATCATTGTTCTTAAATTATATGAGATAGGAACATGAAACTTTCACTAAAATGATCTTAAAAGGTGGTTTTATAACCTTACCTTATAATATGAGCGCCCTGTATCTCGGCAATGGAAGCAGGTTGTTTAGTATTTGAGCAGTGAATGGTACGCCTTGAAGCATGAAACTTTCACTAAAATGATCTTAAAAGCTGGTTTTTATAACCTTACCTTATAATATGAGCGCCCGGTATCTCGGCAAAGGAAGCAGGTGGTTCAGAATTTGAGCAGTGTAAGGAAGGCCTTGAAGCATTCGTCTAACCCAACATTCACCGCTCCAATATT